TTTTTTTTTTTTTTTTTTTTTTTTTTTTTTTTTTTTTTTTTTTTTTTTTAATTATATTTTTTAAATTTTAATGATAAAATACCAATCTAATAAATTATATTATTTTTTATTTTAATATTTTGTAAAATTCTTTTACATTTTAAAAAAAAAATATATATAATTTATTTATTTTAGTACTATTTAACATATTTTTAATAACTTTTTTACTTTTTTTAAAAAACAACTATATTTTTTTGCTATACTTGAAAAATTTTGTTTTTTAATTTTTTTGTTTAAGAGAATATATTTGTAACAAATTCGGTTTACTGCATAAAAAGTTAAACATAACCAGAAATTATTTTTAATTAATTTAATCATTTCTTTTTTTTTTTTTTTTTATTGGAATGAAAAATTTCATTAGTTTTTAAGTATAATCCTTATTCTATTTAATTTATCTAAAAAAATAAAAAATTATAAAAAATTAAAATATAATTTGTTTGTATTTAAAGGTAATTAATCTTTCTCAAAATATATCAAAGACATTAGTTTTTTATAATAAAATTATACATTCATATTACTCATTTAAAGTATTAACAAAAACTATATTGTTATAAAATGAAAAATAAAGTAATAAAAGAAAAAACTCCTTAAAAAGCACACAATAAAAACATTTTTAGTATTCTTTTCTGTATGTAAATATGATCTTAAGCTTATATTAACTTTTAAATATTCTGCATATTTTCTTATTAGTTTATATTATTTTTTTTTGATTATAAAAGCTTTTTATATTTATAGTTTTTGTAAAACTTTACACACAAAATAAAAATAATGCTAGTTCTTCTTAAATGTTAGAATTTTTCATAAGTTTTTATTTAAAAACTAATATATTATATATAATGAAGTTTTTTTTTTTTTTTTTTTTTTTTTTTTATTTGTAACAAATTTACAAAAAGTATTCTAATATGTTTTATTTTTTGATAGATTTATTCCTATTTCTAGTTTATCTTTTATTTTTTCAATTTTCTTTTTTTTTTTTTCTATTATTTTAAAGAATTTTTTATTCTTAGTTTTTTCTTAAGTAATTTTAATTGTAAGTTATTAATAATGAATATGAAACTTATTCTAAAATATTTTATGAAGAATTAATTTAAAATTAATAAAAAATGAAATTAAATATGTCAATAGCTATTCATTTATTATAAAAAAAAAATAATATATATTTTTTCTTTTTTCCTTAAATAAAAGGCATTTTCTCTTAAATATTTTTGTAGCTTCTATTATTTGTTTTTTGTTTAATTTCTTATTATTTCTTAATTATTATCTTGTTTTGATAATTCTATATTATTTCAATAAAAAAAAAAAAAAAAAAAAAAAAAGAGTATGTAAGTTAATAAATGATTATTCATAATTTTTAATAATTTTTTAAAAAAGGAAATAATGAACATGAATTATATTAAAAGGGAACAAAAACTTAAATTAAATAAAAATATAATTTATTCTTCTAATCCTATAATAAATGAAGATGATATAGCTGATTTTGTTTCTACTTTGAATGTTCATAAGCAAACAGAATATGAAAATGACAAAACAAAAAATTTAAATTTAGTGAAAGAAATACAGTTAAGTAGTCTAAATATTAACGACTGGGGGATATCTATACTTATTCCGTGTATATTAAGAACTAGAAATTTAGTTATATTAAACTTATCTAATAATAATTTAACTAATGTTAGATAAATATATCTATTCATTTAATACATTAAAAAATACCAAAAAAAAAAAAAAAAAAAAAGAAAAATATTTTTCTAGTTAATATGAGAACTATGTATATATATTTTTAGTAGTACCTTTTAATAAATTGTATATCTTTTTCAGTATATTAAATGTACATATATATTACAATTTTTTTTTTTTTTTTTTTTTTTAAAGGATAGTGCAAAAATTTTATCTAAATGCATAAAATATCTCCCTTTCTTAAAATCAATAAATTTATCAAATAATTTAATAAGAGATGAAGGTTCTATTGAAATTATAGAAGAATTTTTTTCACAAAATTTAAATGATGAAGAAAATTTAAGTATAGAAAATAATGTATCTGTAGATAGCGTTTTTTATAATAAGTTGATTATGGATAATAGCAAAAAAGATATAGAATATATTGATAATAACTTATATGAAATAGATTTTTCAGATAATTTTTTAGGTACGAAATTTATATTGAAATTAGGTGCATCCATTGAAAATAATAATAAAAAATGTAAACTAATTCTGAAAAATATAGGAATTAATGATATTGGTATTTCTAATTTATTTAAAAAAAGTAAAAATATTGAAATATTAGATATATCTGAAAATAGCGTTACTGCAGAATTATTTTCTCAATATATTGAAACATTTTTTGATACTCAATTAAATTTAAAAGAACTGTATTTGTCTGATATATGCTGTAACCGTGATAATTTAAATAAAATAGAAGATGGAAATAAAATATTTTTAGAATTAATTAAACATTTACATAAAGCAAAAAATTTATCTATATTGTGTTTTTCAAATAATAAAATAAATGATGAAAGCTTTAAATATTTTTGCTTTTTTCTTAAAAATAATGAAAATAATATTAAAGAGATAGATTTATCTAATAATTGTATAACTAATCTTGATTATTTACATGAATGCTTAAAAAATAATAAAACATTGAAGGTAATAAATTTGTCTTATAACTCCATAACTGATGTTAATATGAAATTGTTTTGTTATGGTACTCTTTCAACTAATTTAAATATTTGCGAACTATCCTTATCGTACAACAAGTTATCAAACGAGTCATGTAATTACATATCTTATGCATTATCAGCTCAATCTAAAATAATAAAAAATTCAATCAATACAAAAAATTTTAAGAAGAAAAAATGCTCTTCTTTATATGAAAATGAAGAATTTTATCAAATAAATTCACAAAATTGTGAATCCAATTCATATATAAATAACTTCAAAGATATATGTTCATATACAAAAAATTCAGAAGGCAATCACAAATTAGAATCCAAAGGAGTTCACACAAAGGAACATATAAATAAAATAAAAGAGTTAAAAAATTTAATAATAAACAGACATAAAGAAGAAAATAATTTTTTTTCATGTATAGGAATATTTAACTTTAATAAGGCAAGCGATATATCAAAAAATTTATATTTGCAAGAAAAAAGGAGAAATTTAATTTATAATAAAAATGATCAATTTTATAATTGTTATAATTTCTTTTCATATAATTGTTTTAAAGGATTAAAATTTCTTAATTTATCTGGTTGTCTAATAGATAATGAAGGAATATCTTTTCTAATAAATTCATTAAAAACTTCTTTTTGTCCACTAGAATTTTTAGATATATCTTGTTGTGAGAACTTAAATGAAAATATTTATCAAACAATTACAACCTTAATGTCTAATAAAAAATCTAAATTCTTAAAAAATGAAAGTTTTATTTTTAAAAATTTGCCATTAACAGTTCGTGGAATACCACCAACCCTAATTCCTCTAAATGACTCAGAAGATAATACCGACAAAGATAGTATAGGTATAAAAAAAAAAAATAAATTAATAAATATTTAAAATAATATATGTTAAAGTAACAAAAAATGGGAAAACAAAAAAAAAAAAAAAAAAAAAAAGATCAAATTAATTTATTTTATATAAATATATTTTTTAAAACTAAATTTAATTATAAAAATATGTTTGGTGTTATTAAAATATTAGAAGTTTCATTTTTTTTTTTTTTTTTTTTTTTTTT